TATACAACATTTTGGCCAGACCTGCACAAAATACTCAGAGACTATTTGCAATTTTAAAAACATTGATTTGGGAATTTTACCATCATTTGCTTTCACAGGAGCCCCTAAGAAGAATGTTGCCCCCATGTCAGCTAGAAGCAATTTTAGAGGACGATGTCCCCTCTCCCAACAGAGTTTGCCCTCAGGGTTAGGGACATCTTTTAGTGGTTGGTTTAGGGTTGAGGGGATGGGGAGATATTTTATGGAATTAGGGGTATTTTCAAAAAAAGGGGGGATTAACTGGTTTGATGGGATGATTGGTATTTGTGAATTACTGCTTTTAGAAAATTGTATTGGTACTGTTTCCTGTATATTGATATATTGAATATTGAATGTGAGTGTTCCTACCTCTATTTTTGTATGAGTATGCTTATAATTTTGTCTATATTGTATTGATACATCTACCATATTACAACGTACATTTCTACCTCTGATACTATTTATATAATAACATTGTTTACATTTGATATGTAATGACATTGTTTACAGTTGAAGATCATTGTCTTCATATATTGCACAGTTGTTTATTCTTTTAGTCTTCAAGATAGATAGTATAATCTTCATCCTCTTCGAAGAGCTGTAGAAAATGGCCTTTAATCTAACCTAGAATTCTGTGCCAACGAGACACAATTACTCCTGGCAATGCCACTCTACTCCTGAGAGAACGTTGAGCACCAAAGACACTCCACTGGGAGCTTGTCTTCTTGGCAGAACTGGCCTTTGGATTAAGAAAAGCCCATACCTCAACTTCTGACAATGAAACAGGATTGTCTTATCCTGCCAAGACAGGGTAGGATAGTTCTAAGAAAGTTCCTTGCCTTTAATAATGTTATGTCAGTTATGTTAGGCCTTAGCCAAAGTTGGTTGACTCAACATTGCAAACGAAACTTTGGGTGATTGCCCAGGTAGTCAGTTATCTCTGTCAATTGTTGCACATTTTGGATATATCTCGTTTGTTAAGTAATATTTATTCCCTTCTCAGATCTTTGATGAAGTTGAAGATTATATAATTGTAGTTACTCTCTATATTATTTAGACTCCTTGAGATAGAATGTTTAGCAAAACTTTTGTTCTCAATATTGTTTGTTATATTTATTATTTGTTATTATTGTATATAGTTGTATTTGGTTTAGTTCTGTCTTATTTAGACAAAAAGGGGAGATGTAGGGATAAGTCCCGCCCCTTAGGGGGCGTGTTCGCCTCGGGCTAATGTTTACCTATAAATCTGGCAAGCTTGCTCCCAGCCGTCACTTCTGCTTTCCTGGTCTCCACGAGAACGGTGGTTTTGTAAGTCTATTTCCCCATTAAAGCTGTATATATTTTTACAATCTATCTGCATTCATTTACACCGTTACATCCCACAGTACGTACCATAAGAGCTGGGTTACAGCCAAGTGCCCACAACAGTACCTATACCATGAATGCTGGGTAATAGAAAATCCGTTCCAAAAGTACATACACTATCAGTTCGGGGTTATAGCTATAAGCCTACCATTGTATATACACAATGGAGGCCAGGTTATTGGCATGATCCATCCACAGTGTATGCAGCTTGAGTTTGGAGTTCATTATGGCACAGCACATTCACAATGAGAACATGGTTGAGGACACATGTCCACTACACTATTTTCAATAAGAATGATGGATTAATGGTTTGAGTCTCATACAGCAGATCACCAGAAGTGCTGCAATACAGCTGTTCAGTTACCATTGTAAATGCACAATTAATGCTGAGAGCTAGACATAAGAGCACCACAGTACATTCTGGGATGTATGTATGACCCTGTCACAGTACACCACCATGCATGGTTGGAAACGTGTCAGCCCTCCACAGTACATGCACAGAGTGTTGGGATACAACCACGAGCCCACGATAGTGCTTGTACCATGAAGGCTTGGATATAGGCATGAGACCCTTGCTGTACACACACGACTTGCGCTCAGTTACTGGTTTGAGTCTCACACATAACATTCACAATGAGTGCTGGATTTTAAGCATGAGCTTCCCTTTAATGTGCTGGGATCATGGTTGTATCTAGCACTCATGGTTCATGTCCTGCTGGAAACTCTTACTTAAAACCAAGAATTCATTGTTCGTGAATTATTGTGGGCTTATGGATGGAAACCAGCACTGAATGTGAATGTACTGAGACTAAGATGAGTCTCACAGAACTCATGGTATATGTGCTGGGGGAGGATCGTGCCTAAACTCCAGCAATAATGTGAATGTACTGAGCGAGACTGAAGAACTAATGGTTTATGTGTGGATGGAGACTCACATAGCTAACCTATCACTCATGGGGCAGGTACTGTCAGAAGTTCATGTCTATATCCCACCACTCACTGTGACTGCACTGCCCCAAATGCAAACCAGTAGCCCAGCACTTCCCCTGCATGCACTGCAGGAGGCCGACACAGCTGCAGCAGCACTCATGGTGCATATCCTGTGTGAGGCTGACACTTGTACCAGCAAGCATGGCGCGTGCACTGCAAGGTGCCTGCAACAGTCTTATGAACCAGCTTCCAGGCTGCTGACAGCACTGAAGGAAAGTCCACAGTGTAGCACAAACTGACACTTCTTTATCTGAGGGCTTAGGAAATGTACACTCAGAGCTATTCTGAGGGATTCCTTCTTTATTCTCTCACGGTGCTTTCATGATGCCCCTTTGTTACCCTCCCTGCTTTCTCCATCTCTCATTCTAACTCTGTCTTTACTCTTGATGTTTCCCTCCTGATTCTCTCATGCATGATGTTATTATTCTTCTAGCCCATTTTAACTCCTTCTCTCATGGTTTTCCTCTGATGCCCCAAAGTTTCTTTGTTCTTCACAGCTTAGATATCCAAAATTTTTTTCAAGCAATATACATCTTATTTGACAAAAAATATCATCTGATGTCAGGATAAGATCTGGAGCACCCTACACATTCTTTGTATTAAGGCATGGCCATGTTTCTTGGTCATTAAAATGGGTCCTTGTCTTGCTTCATGCCATGCTGTGGTCCTGGACCCTTTGTGGTTAGGATTGTTCTAGGTCAAATGAGATGAGTGTGTGGCTCAAATGTCCTTGAATTTAAGCTTGCCCCAGATGCCTTGGTAATTTAGGGAGCTGCCACGCTGCCAATGATGTCCCTGGATCTTTGTATGGACTGAATGTTTCTGTGTCCCTTCTGTTTTACATGTGGTTCCAAGCTTTGAATTCTCAGATTAATGTTTTTAATTTAGAGTACCTGTTAAAGCCAGAAAGCATGAAACGGACCCTTAGAGGAGAACAGGCCTGGAGGGAGTGGGATGGCAGAAGAAATGCACTGTGGACGGGGTGAGGGAATCTTGCAAGTGGAAAGGTTTAACCAGGGATGGAAGAAGTGTGGTGTTGGGGAAAGGGGTAACCAAAAGTATGCATGGAGGAAAAAATCCTTTTAGACAAATATTACATTTTAAATTGTTTAAGTTTAGCATGTTAAGGTTCTTGATGCCAACCATATAATGTTAAGTTTAATGTTGGGAAATCACATAGTAAAAGGTAAGAAAATGACCCAGAAAATGATCCTCTGACCTCGATACATGGACCGTGGTTTGCCACCAAGCCTAATGAATGAAGCTGCATCCTTGGAAGCCTAAGTAAAACAACTGAATGAAGTAGCCCTGCATGCATGGATAACGTTCCTCTCAGAAGATTAAGTTTACCAAACAAAGACCCCAATACTATAGGATAGTTCCCTCTGAGGTGTGAAGCAAGGGGGGGGGGCTACTGTCAAACATTACAAGCTCTTGCCAATGTCCTCATTTAAACATGAGAATTAGATTGTAGGACTCTTCTGAACACACTGCACACTTGGGATATAGGACATTTAGAAGTCATGTTGTGTCCATGCTGGCTAGCTTTCACAGTACTAGAACTTCTATGCAAGCTACTGTATGGGGGAAGTTGGCAATGATTCTACCCATCTGTAGACCCTGCATGTGACAACTTGCCTGGCAAGATATTCTCTGTGTGTTGACTCTTATAGGAACAATGAAATTTGTGATTTGATTTTAGGTCTACCACACAGTAGGGAACTCTTGGCTGGTTCTGTAAACTTGATTAAGAGCCCAATGACTGAGGCCATGGTGATGTAATATGGCAATATGTCTTATTCTAGAGACTGGAACCTTTGCTTGACATCACAGCCAGAGTTCACAACATACCTTGAGGTCACTTAAGACATAAGGCTGCTATCCTACTGTGTACTCAAATGGATTGTTTAGCCAACTTTTAAGAGAAAAATGTAACAATTACCACCACTTTCCTTGGTCTTTATAATAGCTGCCTTTTACAAACTAAACTAATACTTAATTGTAATGTTAAATTATGTCTTTTTTTTTGCTCTGATTGGTATTTTATTTCTCCTTTACAGGTTCCACATAATAGACAAAGGTTTTTTGATAACATATTGTTATCTTTGCTGGAGATGATCATATGATCATTCTAAACAACACAAATGTGTACATACAAGAGACTGAGGTTTCTGCAGCCTATAAACACCTCTTTGGGTTTAAAAAGGAAAAAAAGCAATATACGACAATTCAACTGCAACTCTCAGAAAAACATGTTTCCTGACCAAACATGAGCGCCCTGTATATGGACCTATCATCAAAGACAGCAAGGTGCCGGGGGAAGCCAAGAGCAGCTCCTCACACCAGCTCAGAAGACCCTCCCCATCCAGCACCTCCTCAAGGTGCTCCATCTTCATCACAGGAAGATAGCGGTCACCCCAAAAGAAGACAGGAGCAGCAAATAAACATTGTTGTAAAATCTGAGTGTCTTCCACAGTATTTCACACCAGCATCTCAGGAACTCCATGCAAGCATGCGTACCATTTTCTAGATTGCTCCCTTCATATCTCAAGAAAGGGAACCAGGTCTTCCTAACTGATTTTAGGTGCCTGGGAAAACTAAGTATTTCACCAGAAGGGATATAAGCAATGCTATTTGATAAGAGTAAGAATAAGGAGAAAGCAGCTATCTTAAAGAAAAGTGTGCTCTACTCACACTAAAGTATCAGACCAATGCACAACATACTGCAAAACTGTAATACAATACGGTCAAACACAATGTCAAATATGAAACTGTTCAAGCACATGAAGATCATCTTCGGAAAGACAAGCTGGGTTCTTATTTGTAGCTACCTTTGTGTAACTTTAAAAACTGTTGTCCCTCAACAAGGTCTGACACTGATCTTGATACTTGTTAGGAAGTTTGCTATGAGGCAATGGTGGCTCAACAGTCAGGTTCAGAGTTCGCCCGGTGCTCATCTTCAGAATTCATCCGAGGACTGGGCATCATCTTCATCCCTCACTTCTCGGTATCTCCCTGAAGACTCCCCTTCTGGATTGTAGCTCTGCATTTTAATATTCAGTCTCTCAGCTAGTTTCTGTGCTGCGAGCTTTGCCTGCATCTCCTCGTAATTTTGCTTCTGTTCTTTCTGCAGGGCCAGTGACTCTTCTATGGAGAGCAGCTGTGCAGGTAGGTGGTGGAGCGGAAGGAGGCGTGCTGCTGTGATGTCATCAAGATGCTGCCTAGCCCTGCGTCGCTGCTCTTCTGAAGAAGGAGATTCACCCCTCTGACAATGACTTGGTGAGTCACTCTGTTGAGTGGGTAATACATTGGTCTTAAACTTATGAGGAGGGGGCACTGGGTTTTTGGCTCGCATTTCTAGCACTTCCATGTAACGAGGCCTCTTAGGAGTCTCTCTCTGGAGCCCTGGCACGTTCTCAGTGCTGGTGTTTTCTTCTGAGGGCTCACTCTGGTCTGCAATTGTGATCTTTTGCAACTTAGTGAGAAACAGACTGTCAATGCCGCTGGAAATGTCTTCCGCTTGACTTGAAACAGGGCGCTGGGGGAGATGTTCGTTAACTTCAGATGAGGGTGCCCTGGCTTTGCTGCCGGGAGCTGCACCCGGGTTCACTGTGCAGCCAGCCTCCAAAGTCTCTTCGTTGCCTCTGGGAGTGAGATGTGCAGGTCCTTGTGTTTCTGAGGTTGTTCTGAATGATTTGTCAGGAACTAATGATGAAGTATCAAGCATCAGGTCAGAATTCTGGGCCTTGTCTACGTCGGTATCGACTCTTGTGGCTGCTTTTTGCCTTAGCTTACAGTCTACACTAACAGGATGAAACAGTTCACTTCTTGCTCTAACCTCTTCGTGTTCTGCAATGGCAGCTTTCAGTTTGGCGATGGTGTCTGAGATCTTTTTACCTTTGTCGGGCAATTTGCAAATGAATTTTTCGTTGCGCAAAAGTCTCTCCTGGCGCCTCAACCTCTCCCGCAGCTCCGCCGAACTCTGCTTCCCCAAGTCCTCGGGAGCTGGGGGCTCGAAGCCGCGGGGCAGCGAGAACATTGTGCACGGGCTGCGGCTGGCGCGGCGGGCAGGGTTCCCCGGCGGGGCCCACAGCGGGCGCAGGCTCCGCGCCTGCGGCGACTCTGGTGCAGGAGCGGGAGTCGCCATTTTCCCGGAAGAGCGCGGCTTCTTCCAGCCGAAAGGAATTTTCTGGAAATCAATTATGTCTTTTTCTGTGCCCCTGATCCAGAACAATTCATGTTTATCATTTGTATAAAAGAGCAGACATAGAGGTTGAAAACACTTCTAAATGAGTATCCACCAAAACAGTTGGGCACAACAGCATTACTGGGCAATCATGGTATTTGTAATTTCTTTTTAAGGCTGGGTAAATTGGGTTCAGTTGTGCTCACTACCTTAATCCCTTGTAAGACTCCATGAATGATTTCTGTAAAGTACCCCACTCCTTCCCCAGGTGATTCTTATGGGGAAATTCAATAAAAGAGAGAGCAAGAAAAGGGGCAGACACACAAATTCACACATAGGGACACATGTAGGGACAGACAGACATAGGGACAGACAAAGACTCAGACAGACAGACAGACATAGGGACACATGTAGGGACAGACAGACATAGGGACAGACAAAGACTCAGACAGACAGACACACACACACACACACACACACACACACAACCAGACAAAGGGACAGGCACACTTCTTCCGAAAGGCACAGATTTGGAGGGAAGACAGGGAACATGGAGAAAATTCAAACCTGGAAATGACTCCCAGTGGAAGTGCTTTTATTTCTTTACTGCCATGCTGATGCAGTATTGGTGACTCTGAGTTAATCACTGATGTGATGAATCCACACAATAGGCCCTCTGTTGTTGATTTGTTAAAATTCCATGGCATCAAACTGCCTTCTACGTACTCTCCCTGACACCTATACATTTGAGCAACTGTGATCCCTAATGAGAGAGGCTTCTTTAGGAAGTGGGCTCTGCTGACTGCACAGACTCACACCTGGCCAAAGTTTAGAGAATACATAACTGTGCAGTTCTCAGACCTCAGCAGGACACCTGAACCACAACACGCTGCAAGGCTCAGGGACTGCTTTGGAAGTGAGAGGCAGAGGTTGAAGATTGTTTCTGTGAAATGGTGTCCAGGACACAATGATAATCACACACAGGAAGGGGCTCATAAGGCCCCACCCTCAGTGAGGGACTTTGCTCACTTAATATGTGCTGGGTGATGGAATGTCATAAAAAGTAAAGAGGGAATGCAGGTAAGCAGCCACAGTTTAAATCTATGGATGTTAAGGCCAATAGAGTAGTTCGAGTGGTGTTTTCACTCATGTGAGAGCAGTGTGAGAAGGGAAACCTCAACATGACTTGTCTGTGCCTTGGAAAATCCACCAAAATTCATTGAACTCCAGTTTCCAAAACTGCAATTGCAGGCCCAGATACCCAGAAATGGGCTCAACCTGGACTTTTGGAGGCTTTCTGGAGGGTAGATAAATCCAACATTCCTTAAAAACTTGTGAAGCTACTTCCTCTTCTCAAAGGGGTCATTTCTCTTCTCACTGGCAGTAGGAAAAGTTGACTATCTGTGGTCATTATCTATTACTATAACAAGGTACAGACTAGCCTCCAGGTCCTTCAGTAGCACCAGTACCCACTGGACATGTCAGAGTCCTTGCTCGTGTTCTAGGTCTTCTACCCTGCTCCCTACCCTAAACTCCCTCTAGTTCAGAAGCATCCCTCTCCCAGCTTCTCATTCTCTTCCTAAACCTATCTCTCTGTCTCCTCCTGTCTCTATGTTCCTCTCCCTCTCTCTGTGTCTCCTCTTCTGTCTCTCTCCATCTGCCTCTCTGCTCTGCTTCTGCTTCTATCATAGGCAGGTGCAGTTGACTATGTTCAGCCAACATCTATTTCTGCTCTGAGTGATTTGATGTGCCGCTGTCTGTTCTATCTCTGATAGCTATAATAGAAGCTTTCTCCTTAAACATGTCATCAAGAGGTCATGCCATCAGCTTGTACAATACAAAGAAATAGTTTAAAATATTTTCATAGTATATTTTAATGAAAAGCTACTAAAAACTTATATACAAAATTCAATATATACTGTATCAATTTTCAGAGAAATATTTAACATTATAATTTCTATTTTTTTTCTGAGAGTAAGTACAGATTTTATTTATTATTATTATTAAAATTTTTCACCTCCTCCCATTTTCTTCCCCTTCCCCTCATTCCCCCTCCTCCTCCCTCTCTCCAGTCCAAAGAGCAGTCAGGGTTCCCTGCCCTGTGGGAAGTCCAAGGTCCTCCCTCCTCCATCCAGGTCTAGGAAGGTGAGCATCCAAACAGACTAGGTTCCCACAAAGCCAGTACATGCAGTAGAATCAAAACCCAGTGCCATTGTCCTTGGCTTCTCAGTCAGCCCTCCTTGTCAGCCATGTTCAGAGAGTCCGGTTTGATCACATGCTCCATCAGTCCCAGTCCAGCTGGACTTGGTGAGTTCCCCTTAGATCAGCCCCACCGTCACAGTGGGTGGGTGTACCCCTTGCGGTCCTGACTTTCTTGTTCATGTTCTCTCTCCTCAGCGGTAAAAAACAACGACATCTTGAATTTTGCATGCAAATGGATGGAAATAGAACACACTATCCTGAGTGAGGTAACCCAGACCCCAAAAGATGAATATGGTATGTACTCACTCATTAGTGGATTCTAGCCATAAATAAAGGACATTTAACCTATACTTCGTGATCCTAGAGAAGCTAAATAGGAAGGTGAACCCAAAGAAAAACATATAGTTATCCTCCTGGATATTGGAAGTAGACAAGATAGCCAGGCAAAAATTGGGAGCTTGGGGGATGGGTGAGGTGGAGAGGGGGAGAGAGAAGTGAGAAGGGAAGGATGGGGAGAGTTTGGGGGAATGGGATGGTGGGGATGGAGGAAGAGTGGATATGGGAGCAGGGAAGTCTATATCTTAATTAAGGGAGCCATTTTAGGGTTGGCAAGAGACTGGAATCTAGAGAGGTTCCCAGGTGTCCAAGGAGATGTCCCCAGCTTGTTCCTTGAGCAACTGAGGAGAGGACGCCTGAACTGTCCCACACTTATAAATATCTTGCATATCACCATAGAACCTTCATCTGGCAATGGATGGAGATAGAGACAGAGACCCACATTGGAGCACTGGACTGAGCTCCCAAGGTCCAATTGAGGAAAATTTCTAAATTTTATAAAATATTTCTGACAGATTGTCACTTGAAAGCCAATGTAATAATATCATAACAACATCATTTTTAAAGGTGTCTTATATCTTTAATCTTTCAAAATAATGTACAACAGGTTAATAGTTTTTTTTTTTTTAGAATACCAAAAAGGAGGTGGACTAAGAAGGAACTAGATTACATATATATATATATGAAGGAACCAGAAATACATTATAATTTATTTTTTATATATTTTTATAGTATTCTTTCATCCCCTGCAGTACATTCCACATGCTTCCTCAAAAAGAGTTTTAAAATCATGCATTCTGAAAATATTGAGCTCATTTAAAAGACCAGGTATTTTAATTGTACATATATAAATATATAAACCCCCACACACATAAGCCATGTTGATTCTTATATTCTAGCCCTAGCTGGGCCACTTAGCCTCAACAACTCTCAGTGGAATTTTTCATTCCTGAGTGTTGAACAATAGGGTGCCAAGGAACCCATACATATCTATATTTGTATTCATAAAGATGTGGCAAACTCAGCATCTAATATTTGTCATCTTTTGTTACAAATGAACAACTCCTTTTCTGGAAATCTCATGAAATTCATTCTAGGCAGAAATTGATTTCAATATTTTATCGGATGGCAGAATAATGAATTTATTGACCTCTTGGAAATACTTTTGACCCTTTGCTCCTTTCAACTCTCCATTACAGTTCCTTAACCTCCTTAGAATTCCGCACAACTAGGAGGCTTCTGATCAAGGAGTAAGAGAGAAAGTCCAAGTAGCAAAGTGTTTTTGTTTATCTTTCAGAATTTATCAGTGTATTCCACTAGATAAAGTCAAATTCCTATTGACTTGTGTATCCCCTTGAGTTGTGTTCTTTCTCTGGGGATGCATGTACAGTACATGTTTAAATAGGTGAATGAAAGTTTAGCAAGCTTTACATGTACTGAAAGCATAATAAGGTCTATAGAATTAGATAAGATTTAATGTTTTAAACTGGCCAGTAATTCAAGGAACAAAACACTATATATAATTTATCTGCAAAACTGGTGAAAGATGGATGTTATGTCTCCCTCCCTTTTTTAATAACTCACTTAGTCCAACTGATAATGTCCACATGCACTTGGCTGTGGGGGATCCTACTGGAAGTCTTACTCCTTAAGATAAATGACACAAAAATGGGATGAGGACAAGTTAGGGGATGGGATGGAGGCAGAGGACAGGGATGGGGAAAATATGAGCAACATGGATGATCTGAATTACATACATTAAAATGTCAAAGAGTAAACTGAAAATATTCTTCAAACAATAAAATGAAAAAAAACCCTCAAAAAATATTTCTGACACTTGACAACAGGAGCTCTTCATAGGTTGTTCAGCAGAAACTAAAAAGAAAAGCAAGAATTATCAGTAGTATCAAGAACATCATTGGTAGCATCGTCAAGATAAGCAATAACAGAGGCATCACCCATAGAATCCTATGTAGTGTCATGTCACAATGAGTATCATTGTATTTGAGAATGGTGAGAATGTGGAGTCTTGTTTCATTGGTTTTATTCTCAGAGGTTGTTTCTTTTGGGGTGTTTGTTTCCAAAATAATGCTGTCCACATAAGTCACAGTGTATGGACACAGAAAAATAACAACTAATATCTAACAGTTACATTTCCCTGCTTCGCCATTCAGAAAATACAAGTTTCACATTAAGAGTGAAAATCATTTCCTCATTCCAGCATGGGAGGCAACTGTGTGCTTACCAACTTTACTTGGTCAGTTTGGTTGGACTAAACTGATTGTGTTAATTTTATGTGATGCATTTTCAATATG